GTGCCAAGCCAGAAGGTTGTTTTCTCTCGATCCGTTCTAATTTCCTGCTGATTTCATTCAATTTCTCGTTAATTCTCCACATCTGAATACAAGCTGTCAACAATTGTAAGGTAAAGGGTACAGCTGCTTTGAAGTCATCATGTTTGTTGCCTTCAGAAAAATGCCTAGCCCTTGTATACTACGCGGTCCTTACCTGAGGCGACGACTCCAGCTGATCGGGCTTAAGGCAGCACAACAGGCGGCAGGCACTTCCACAGCCTATCGACCAATCGCCGTCAACCTAGAAACAGCAATGCTACTTTGAAGGAACCTAAAAGCGTGATGGAACATGTACCTCGCTGCCGGCACCATTGTTCACCAGATCTAGATGATGTCCCTTCTGAGTTTTGGCCAGATCGTTCTTCTCCTGCGGCCTCGGATCTTCACGTGTTCCCCATGACACCTGCGAATAGAATTATAACTGGTATGCTAGACCTCAGCAAGAATTGATCAAGACGTTACCGTATTCAAATTGCAGATGGAGTAAATCGGCAGCAACATGTACATACAGGGAATGGCGAGGAAATACAGTATGCCTGGGATGATGCAAGTGAATTCCAGTGGATGTAGAATTGCAGCAGTCAGAAAACTGAAACAATGTCAAGATTGAGAGGTGCAAAGGGTTACAGGGAGCAGAGGCGCCACATTTGCAGAATATGTGGCTGAAGGTACTGAAGTTGCGCTCGAGAACTGGCACTGGTCATATTCGGGAAGCTGTTCGGATAAAAGTAGAAAGCTACAGAATAGCAAAGCCCCAGGTGTTTTGTGTGAGCGCTGCCCATGAGCAGCCAACTGCCAACCGAGCGCAGCCGTTGCCAAGTTTAAAGCAACAGTCCCAGCAGGGTGGGCGTGGTCGGAAACGACTGCAATCCCCTCGGCCGATTCCGACCACGCCCACTTCAGCTCCCTCCCTAGCGGCTTTCCAAGGTGAGTTTTTGTTCAGTCACACTTCTTACGTTCTTGACTAGGGGCTGAACAGCTCCGAAGTGGGAATCGGCCGAGGGGATTGCAGCCGTTTCCGACCACGCCCACCCTGCTGGGACTGTTGCTTTAAGGATAACGCTCAAAACATTTTTTCGGCGCTGGGCACCTCAACAATTCGTCCTATTCAAAATCAAATTTTACACGTGTTCGTTGTAAAATAAATCTCGCAGGCGAACAAGGTTGGTGATACCGTAACGCAACGTTAGTGGAGTGCTAATTGTAAGAGAACGTGTGACCAGACGCAGTAGGAGATGATCCATTCCTGCGGTCAGGGTCATCGCGTTGCAGCACTCGCCGTGCGCGGCCTGTGAAACTTATGGCGTGAAGCTTATGCCATTCACCATTTCAGAGCCAC